AGAGCTGTCCGGACCATCAGAACCATCCGGGCCGGGCCCTCAGAGCTGTCCGGACCATCAGAACTATCCGGGCCGGGCCCTCAGAGCCGTCCGGGCCCTCAGAACCGTCCGGGCCGCGGGGCCCGGCTCAGGTGAGGCGCTCCCTCGCCTGTGCAGGGCCCGTCTGCTCTCCCTCAGTCTCCAGCCCCGTTCCAACTCCCTCCGAGCGCTGAGGGCTTTTTGTTTGTCCTTGTTCTGGACAAAGCTGTTCGGAATGTTGGTTCCTGTGTGAAATGTTGGTTTCCATGTGAAAGTCGAGGAGCTCTGGCTTCCCCCTCTCCTGAGAGGCTCGCTCCTGTGCAAAGCCGATGCTGGAGGTGGGAGAGGGATTTGTTGGTTGTGCTCTGTGTTTTCTGAGCTGTGGGGCTCAGGGGCAAGTGCAGACATTTATTTGCAGAGAATTTTTGTTTTGTATTTTCGTAATTCCTATGAAGAACACGCACTGCATTTGGCTCATAATTTCAGTTTATTATCAAAATGTTTTGATCAGATGACAAACTCAGAAAGCTAAAAGGAAATAGGTTTTTAAATAGACCTATTGTAGCAGTCATCTGAGGTATCTGGTACTTGGTTTGGAAATGTCTTTGCTTTGATAAACAAAGCAGTAAGTTCCTTTGCAATCTGCATGAGGATGTTTGGTACATATCATTGCAGATTTAAAGCCTTTTACCCTCTTACTTAAAGCTCCTTCAGACTCTTATAATCAGCTGTGCAGCTTTCCTGACGTGAGGACTGACATTGATCAGAACACGTACAAGTAATGTGCAGGATCAGAGCCTAAGCACTGACAGAGTCAGCCTGAAAACCCCAATGTTTGTGCCCTCCATTGGAGAACTCAGTTTTGTAGGCTTTATCTTATTGCCCAATACCATGCTTTAGTCCCATTTCCCAGTTCTATGCAGCCACTGATAAAATATGTTACAATACTTCAAGTCAAAAGTGTAGCTCAAGATTTAAATATAAAAACTATGATTTATACATTACTAGAAACTTTAAAAAAGAGTAACTTTAGAGAAGGCAAGAAAAAGCTTAGAAAATGATGAAAGGGTCTTTGATCACAATCTTACAGATTATAGGTACAGAAATTAATAAATTACCTACAATTTCAGTTGGGCTGGAAAGCTGTAAATTAACTGTTGTAAATAGGGGCTTCAGGTAATACACGCTGAAGTAATTAGTGAGAAGTTAGTTAAGTACAGCAGGTCTTTGGACTCCTCTTGTGTAAATGGTTTCAAGTAAAACTGAAAACATTTGGTAGAACAGATTTCCTATAACAGCAGAGGGTACAAAGTCTGACAGTGGGATAGAAACTGTCATCTCTCTGTCGTGTTGTGATGGCTAAAATGTGTGTTACTGAGTACTTCCCACCTCCCCTGATCAGAAATCTGCATTCACCGGCCAGGGGGAGATCATGTGTTATACTTTGCCATTTTAAAATGAATCCAAAAAGCCACTGGCTGTGGGGGCAGGGTTAAAACTACAGGTGAGGTGTGGCTGTGCATGGCCAGGTGAGTTAGGTCCTGTGGGGCTCTGGGGGGAGAAGCAGCCAGGCAGGCAGCGCTGCCTTAGTCCTTCTTCGGTGCTGTGCTGGGTGGTGACTCGGGGTTTGCATGTTTACCAAGGATTACAGACATGTCTCTAGCATATTCCCCTCAGCTTTCTTCCCTCCTCCCCTTCTCAAAATCAACAGGAAAGGTCTCTTTTCCTGGAAAGCTCCTTGAGATGTGAGGTTTGCAGTCTGTCACCAAACGCGGCACTTCTTGGCAGGATCCATGTTGTCTCTCGTGGTGCATGAAAAGGCTTCTGAAAACTCTGGGGAGTTCTGCAGTGATCCCAGCACCCTTTAAAACAAAGCAACACGCTGTCATTGCTGCTCTCCTTGGTTTGAAACAAACAACACGACCCGTATTTTGTAACTTGTTTTGTTGTGTCACCTCACTCTAATGTGGGGAACGCCCTGTTGCTGAGCTCTGGCTGTTGCTTCATTTCACCTCAATGAAATGCGTTTTGTTCTTCAGCTCATCTTGCCCCTATTGCAACCCCAAAAATACAGGACCTGTCCCTTCCTCATGGCTGGCTCTCTCACAAGCCAGTTCTTTCACCTAGAACAGATTTCTTGCTTGTCAATAGTTTTCACTGAGGATTTTTTCAGCTATGTTTTGCTGACAAGTTTCTTGGTGAAGGGAAAACAAGACCCCGAGGTCAAGGGCTGTGGTGGTAACTCGTCAGTGAATGTTCATTTACATTTTTACACCAACCAAGTTTTAACTGAGATCATGCTGCTCCTCTGGGCGTTCTGCACAGATTTTCCAGTGAATGAGTTTCCTGGCAAAAAGACTCATACAAACAATGGCTTTCAACTCAACATGGAAAGTGAGTATGAGGCCATTCCAGCTCAAGCTGATTTTATACGTGTGATTGTGAACATGTGTGAATAGATCTGCTAAAAGGGATTCTGGATTGGGAATACAGCAGTTCACACCTGTGCAGGGAAGCAGGTCAAATACAGATACTGATGGACAGTGGTTGTGACACAGAAGTTCTTTAAAGAACTGTTTCTTTGAGTAATTCATGATTATTCTGAGAACTATGTTCATCATTAGAACCAGGGTGTGCCCACAGAAGCTGAGGTGAAGTTCAGCAGTGACACCTGCAGCACCTCAACTGTTCTACAAGGCCAAAAGTGACTCCCTGGTCTTGGAAGCCAGCAGTGGAACAGGAGATGGCACAGAAAAAGGGTTATCAAAAAAATCATGCATTTTTGTGATCTAGCTGTGCTTCACTGCTCCAATAAATTAGAATTTCTAAAATGGATGCTCTGCTATTAACAATTTTTATGAGGAGCTGTCCTACTTGTAAGGAGAAACAGCCCACAGTTAGTGTAGCAAATGTTGAAAAGGCTCATCACACTCCCCAAATAATAATCAAAAAAGGCACATTGGGAGCCTTTGTGACACTCCTGTAATATGTTGTTAGGTGTTAATTTTGTGGGTATGTCTCATGGAATGTTTTCTATTTTAGTGCTCTTAGGGGGCCTCATCCTAAAAATGCCTGCCCATTCTAAAAATGTTGTCTGGTTTCTCATGAACACTTGTATCATTGCATGTAAAGTTTATAGCCTGTCCTACCGAGGTACAGACAGCACAGCATGATGTAATGTATCCAGGGTACACACAAACACAGCTTGTTACACTGAGATGCCGAACTAGTCAACTTCAAAGGCCTTGTGCCTCATCCAAATCAGATGTGCTGAGGTTCTGAACAGCCTCTGGAGCCTCATTAGCACTGAGACCAGACAGGAATGACTGTAGGAGCTGGTGCACAAACTGCCTGTGGGAGAGATCCCAGATAGCACAACCCACCCGCAATGAGGGCAGTGAGGGAACAGTTGCCGCTTTCACAAAATGTTTGAGTGTGTGGGATAAACAAGATTTGGTGAAAAGCCCTTGAAAGAAAGATACTGGAACTAATGTAGTGGATTGTATCAGCAGAGAGCCTGGCTATTGTGGACATGGAGCCTGGAGATGACTCAGCCTTCCAGAGCAGATGCTGTGATGGCTGCACTACCACTGATACGGTGGCATTGGACCAAAGAGGTTTATTAGAGCACGTTCTTACTCTGCTGATGAATAGGCTGCTCTGACTTCAGATAAAAAGACCCTAGTCTAGCTCAAAGGCTTGTACCAGGAGCAGCCACGTTTCCTGCATGGCTCTGCTGAACGGAGCCCAGCTGATCTGGAGAAGGTTGGCTGAGCACACCAGACACAAAATGCACATCTGCTGTTGTACCACAGCACACGGGTTTGTTAGGAGTGAGGGGCAGTGATCTCCC